GTGTGTGTGTGTGTGTGTGTGTGTGTGTGTGTGTGTGTGTGTGTGTGTAATATATAGTCTTTTGTCTGGTGAAAAAAATTTCCCTGGAACCTAACCCCCCCATTTACATTAATTCTTATGAGGAAATTGGATTTGCTTAACATCATTTCGCTTACAGTCACATTTTCCAGGAACATAACTACAACATTAAGCGAGGAGTTTACTCTATAGCTAGATCTAATAGTTGATTTGAAATTTTGGAACTTTACCTTCTGGCTGTGTTTTGTTACTGCTGACCCTCTGGCAGCAATAAATTGATTTGCTTGAGTAAATCATGTCTAAGCTTATGAGACAAATCAGACAGTTAAGTGTCCTGATATTATTATCCTCCATCTTAATTTTTCATGTATTGAAGTGCAAAATTCAAAGACTCAGGGACAGGTTTATGGACATTAATGCACTCAGTGTGCATTATGTACTAAAAACTAGAAACTCATAAACTTTGAGGGGCATCAAAACTGTGACTGTATTGTTTTCTCTTAATTCTCTTTTACTGTAGCTTTAATCAGCTTGATATTTGATTCTGGAAATTCTGCTAGAAGTGTAACGATTAATATATTGCCAAGTTTCTCTAAAAATTCAAAATCTGTGCTGAGTCTGAATTTATTTGCCCATAATAATACTGTCCCTGGCTGACATAAATATACCATTGTTGTTAGCAATGGATCCAGAGATGTATGGTGGTAGACAACATCACTTGCCAAAATGAAATCATAATGGTGAGTTGATTTAGGGAAGTCTTCATTGAGGTCTTCTCCCCACACCAGCTTCCTCACTTCAGGTTGGTGTATATTCATGTTTTGTGTATTTCTTGAAATATTCAATTTGAGATTTTCAAGTACTTCAGGCAAATCAGTAGCTGTAACATAAGCTCCTAAAGAGAATGTTTAAATGATTAGTGTATATATTTTTTCTATAAACCTTCCTGTTTTTCCCCTAATTATCAATTTTGAATATGTTGTTAACTCTCTGGTCATCATTCAGTCAATAAATAGACCACCGCCCACCCATTTCCTGGATTGGGGTAACTACCCATAAAGGACTGTTATTTTGGGGCATGTCTCCACTGCCCCAAGTGCTCCATGTGGATGCTACAGGTGCAAATTAAAAGGCTCCTGTTAATATAATCCTCTTCAAACTGGGGACCTTTTAGTCTGCACCCACAGCATCCACACGGGGGCGTTAAGGTGTAGCACTTTGGTGCGCACTTCTGTTTGTGCTCCTGTAGTCCAAACTATGGGGCAGTGTAGACAAGCCCGACAGAATTTTGAGAGCCAAAGTCATAAATGCTAGTTAAGTTTGAATTTTAGTTATAATTTCACTGACTACAATGTCAAAGAATTGTTTAGCTGTCACCTCACAATTGATATATTTGAAGGTGAAGAGGTGGAATTATTGGAATTTAATCAGAATTTACCAACCTAGTATACTAGCCACAATGGATACCAGTCCTGTTCCAGCACCAATTTCAAGTACCTTTTTGTCTTTTAGGTTGATCTCTTGTTGATTTGATTCCAGGTACTGAGATAAAGCCAATGCCTAAGAACAGTTAAAATATATCCATAAAAAGCATTAATTTGCTAATGGCCATGCAGCAGTTCATTAAATCATTGAAAACATTTTTCTAATAAGTTTACTTCTAGACTGAACATATTCAAGTATATAGCACAAAAGCAAATTAGGAAAAAGGAACAAGATTAGTCCTCTTTTTTTTTTTTAAACAAAAAACACCCACATTATTAGGCAAGTAAAAACAAACAGCTTCTTTTTATATGGGTTTCCCTAGAAATACACACATCTATACGGCACTCAGTTTTGTTGCTTTCTACTGACTTCTAAGTTACTGTAGGAACTGAGCATAATCAGTCTGGAGAAGGAGAGATTTTATTACAAAGTCACCGTCACTCTAGATATTCAGATCTAAACTTGACTCCCATCTATTAGTCATAGTGCAGGCATGATGAAATAATTCCAACCACTTTATAGAGAGGGAAAAGACAAATGGTACCTTTCAGTTCAAGTGACAGAGTTCTGTCATGGAACCATACCAGTAAAACAGTCGACAATTGGTTGCCTTCTTAGCAATCACAGCAGAGGTCAAAGAGCAGATAGGCTTGGTGACTGAACTACCTCTTTGTTTCCTCCATCACAACCCCGTATTACATCTCATCTAATCACACAGTTTTGTAACATGATGCCGAGGCATTGATTACCAACTCATCATGGGTGAGTGCCGCTAATGAATCACCAGCACTGTTTGTGCAGTACCTATGTTTTCTTTGGAGTTCTCCCATCCATGTACTGACACACTCTATGCATCCGAAGAAGTGAGGTTTTTACCCACGAAAGCTTATGCCCAAATAAATCTGTTAGTCTTTAAGGTGCCACCGGACTCCTTGTTGTTTCTCTAAACTCAAAAACAATCCTAAAAATAAACTGAGAAGGTAAGTGTCATTCTCACAACACCAAAGATAACTTTATTTTCTGACTTGAAAGATGACTCTCACATGCAGCTTGTCAACAGGTTGAATCCCCTTGCCTATGACTTTCTACGCCCAAAACCCAGACTCTATAAACCTGGCAGACTCTGTGATGAAAGGTATATCCTCGTCAAAAAAGGTCCTGGGGAGTCAAGATGCTCTTATCGCTCCAGACTGTTTCCTGAAAGCATAGACTTATGATCTGGGGAAAGAATTCTATAGTGTAAGGTTAGGAGCATTGAGCCTATCATGCTACAACCACTTATGACCCAATATTCTCACTGGTCTTCAAACTCATCTCTTTTTAAGTTCATCAAGTCCCTGCTTCGTCTGCACCGAAGCTTGCTTTTCCAGTAGCTAGCTGTGAAAGAAATTAGATGAGTTGCCAAAATAGCTATTTTTTCCCTTCAAGAATGTTTCTGCCTTTCCTATGATAAAGTATAAACACCCCCTTTTTCTGTATTTTAGAACACTTTCACAAGTCCTAAGAGAGTCTTGCACTTTTTTCCCAAACCACAAAAGAAGGGAAAAATCCTGTGGCATAAAATAAATCTTGACTTCCCTCCAGTCCTCTGTCTCAAACAAACTGAGCAAGTTAGAAAGTTCTCAGCAGTTGCTTGCCTTCCAATAAAATTGTGAAGGAGCCAAGTTCTCTAAATCTTCCATAGCATAGTGGATCAAATGCTGCATGAGGGGAACACAAGTGGTGCTGATTGGACAGTACCTGTGAGCAATGAGACACACTTCCTGGTTCCCAGGTAATATCCTGGGTAGAAAGGGTTTTGTCTACATACATACAGTCAGTTAAATAGACCTTCAAGCCTCCACACTTGCTCATTTTGGGATGAGATTGCTCTACTCTGCTCTAAATAAATTTCCATTCCCTATAAAATGCTGCATGCTGGATCTTTTCAATATTATTTTCTTCTGTTCTCACGTGTGTCTTGCCGGATGCTTACATCCCCACAGTGACTGACTGGAGTTATTGAGAGAACACAACACTTCTTCCCAATTTTCCTTTCTTTGATTTAATATCTGCACCCATACTCATTTATATGCTCAACCAATAGCAACGGCTATTTCCTGCACTCTTCAAAGGGAGAGGGGTACACAGTTTTATAGAGGACTTAAAGTTCAATCATTTGTTCCCATTTCACACCTTTGGAAGCTGCTCTTCTGGCCCAAAGTGGCAGTAGGAGGGGCATAAGCCAGAGTTCCTTGTTAAAGTCGTTAACTACCTTCATTCTGCACTGTGATAGAAGCCTGACAGTAAGTGAGCAATGGGGATGTTCATCAAAGACCATTATTTTCATTTCACTTCAGCTCCAATGTTCCATTTGTTCACATTTATTTTATAATTTAGAGTTTAACTTGCTACTTGATTACAGTACATAGGTAAAACTTACACCGGGCCATACTATAGCTCCGAAGTGGTCTAATGATTCTTGAATAGTGATCTGGTGGTCTGCATAACAATAATGCTCCTTGTCAAAATAGGGAGAAACTGTAGGAATCCACTTCTGCAGTATTTTAAGAATTCTTGGTGATTCTGCGGGAGAAAAGATCATATCTGTATTATTTGTTAGATAGGAGCATATACGTGCGTTTTGTTGCATGACTGGGAAAAGAAAATGTACAAGACTTATCTGCAGTCAAGACAATGAGTCTGCAGCCTTTTCTAAAAAAGTTGCTAGTGAGCTGATCATGCGCACCATGATTCACTGGGTTGCCAGACCTGGATCCCAAATGTGGGTGGTCCTGCTGTCAATCAAAGTGAAGGAGAAAACCTTTCCCGTGAGTCATGGAGCAACATAGGTTGCTTCGTGAGGAATTTTAGGACACTCTTTTGGCATACATTTTTCTGTCACCAGGTTGAGACTTAGGTATACCAGGTCAGGGGTTGCAAGTCATGATAATACCATATCTAAATGAAGCCATTTGGAGATTTTTAGGTTGCTAGTGTAACTGCACAGTTGTGGACAGGGTAGCCGGCTAGCATTGATTCTGGCAGAAGTACACTGGGTTCTTAAACCACAGATAGTTTGGACCTCTATTTTTGTATCTTCCAAAAGTCAGCATTGCCAGTAGTACAGTGTTCCCTGACATCAGGTGTTGCATTGTTTCAACTAGGGATGCAGAGGACAGTGTCATCTTCTGAATCTGAAACACTGCATTTTCCTATCTTAACCCAGCGGTTCCATCATGTCCTATTTGATCTGTCAAGCTCGCAGCCCAGCATAGAATAGCTGCAGAGTATTGCTGTGTTAAAGTGCCTTTCCTTCTAATGTCATCCTTAACAATACTGAAAAATGAGCAGCTCTACCTCTGATGATACTGGAATGTGACAAGAACAAACATCTTGTCATCCTAAGACAAAAAGCAGAAAACTATAGTGCAGGATTCATAGATTCCAAGGCCAGAAGGGACCGTTGTGATCATGTAGTCTAATCTCCTGTATCACACAGGCCATAGAACTTCCCCAAAATAATTCCTACAGCATATCTTTTGGGAAAACATCCAATCTTATAAATTGCCAGTGATGGAGATTCCACCACAACCCTTGGTAAATTGATCCAGTGATTAATTACTCTCACTGTTAAAAAATTATGACTCATTTCCAGTCTGAATTTGTCTAGCTTCAGCTTGCAGCCATTGGATCATGTTATAACAGGGGTGGGCAAACTATGGCCTGCGGGCCAGATCTGGCCGGTCAGCTGTTTTTTAATCCTGTTCTCAAGCTCCTGCTGGGGAGCGGGGTCTGGGGCTTGCCCTACTCCGACACTCCAGCCAGGGAGCAGGGTCAGGGGCCGCTCCACACAGCTGCCGGAAGCAGCGACATGGCCCCTCCAGCTCCTATGTGTAGGGGCAGCCAGGGGGCTCTACTCTGCGCGCTGTCCCCACCCCAAGTGCAGCCTCTGCAGCTTCCATTGGCCGGGAACCGCAGCCAATGGGAGCTACAGGGGCAGTGTCTGCGGACGGGGCAGTGTGCAAAGCCGCCTGGCTGTGCCTCCGCATAGGAGCCGGAGGAGGAACATGCCACTGCTTCCAGGAGCCGCTTGAGGTAAGCGCTGCCCGGAGCCTGCACCCCTGAGTCTCTCCCTGCACCTCTGCCCCAGCCCTGATCCCCCTCCTGCCCTCCAAACCCCTTGGTCCCAGCCCGGAGCACCCTCCTACACTCCAAACCCCTCATCTCCAGCCCCACCCCAGAGCCTGCACCCCTACCCCAGCCCGGAGCCCCCTCCTGCACTCTGAATTCCTCATTTCTGGCCCCACCCTGGAGCCTGCAGCCCCAGCCAGAGCCCGCACCTCAACCCCAATTTTGTGAGCATTCATGGTCCACCATACAACTTCTATTCCCAGATGTGGCCCTCGGGCCAAAAAGTTTGCCCACCCCAGTGTTAACCTTTCTCTGCTAGATGGAAGAGCCCATTATTAAATATTTGTTCCCCATATAAGTACTTAGTGACTAATCAAGTCAGCCCTTAACCTTCTCTTCATCAAGCTAAATAGATTGAACTCTTTGAGCCTCTTACTATATGTCATGTTTTCTAATCCTTTTAATCATTCCCACGGCTATTCTCTGAACCTTGTCCAATTTATCCATATCATCTTGGATTGTGGGCACCAGAAACTGGACACACTATTCCAGCAACAGTCGCACCAGTGCCAGATAAAGAGATAAAATAACCTCTCTACTCCTCGTGATTCCCTTGTTTATGCATCCAAGAATCACACGAATGCTTTTGGCCACAGTGTCACACTGGGAGCTAATGTTCAGCTGATTTTCTACCACTACTCCCAAATCTTTTTCAGAGTCCCTGTTTCCCAGGATGAAGCCCCCCATCCTGTAGGTATGGCTGACAATCTCTGTTCCTATTTGTCCCATTTAGCCGTATTAAAATGCATATAGTTTTAATACGGCTTGTTCCCAGCTTACCAAGCAATCCAGATGGCTCCGTATCAGGGACCTGTCCTCTTCATGATTTACCACTCCCCCTATTTTTGTCATATGCAAACTTTATGAGTGATTACTTTGTTTTCTTCCAGGACATTGATAAAAATGTTAAATAGTGTAATGCCAAGAACTATCACACATTCAAGAAAACTGTCTGGAACAGAAGTAGACTGTCGTGTTTTCTTCCGCAAAACACAGAGCAAAATATTCCTATTTTCCAGTGGTCAGTTTCAAATGTTGCAATTTATACTTTACTTTGTGTTTTTAGCTAGTCCCAGTTTTGGGAATGGTAAAAAAAAAAAAAAAAAAAAAAGGTTCAAGGGCCATCTAGGCTGTGGGCCAGGTTTTTAAAAGAGCTCAGCAGGCAAGAGCTCCCATTGTTCTTAGTGATCATCCAGCCACTTCAGTGAGATGCCTAAATAAGAGCAGAGCTCTTTTCAAAATCTGCCTCGGGTGTGTGCTGAGCCCTGCTATACATCTGGCCCTGTAAGGGAAAAAAATGACATTTAAGAAACAAGTAAAAAACTGAAGTGAGAGTAATCCTGTCCAGAATGAAAATGGGCTATTTGGGTGACTTTTTGGATTTGTGTACCTAGGAAAATCCAATATTCTACAACTTGCTGGCATGCCATAGTTTTTATTATTAAGTAGCAACCTGAATTGGATTCTGCTGTTGCTGGACAATAGTCAGGGCAATTAGACCCATCCTGACATTCAGACTGCTGTTCATTAAGCTCCTTCTCTTTGCTTGGGCAGTCCATTGCTCTTTGAATTTCGTTGGGGTGTGGCAGGTGCTGTGTGGAGATCATAGCAGGAATGCTGAAGGAGGAAAAACAAAAAATTGTAAAGTAACAAGGTACTATGTTCACTACATAACTTAGCTATGCAGCTCCCTTCAATTGAAGGATCCCAAAGTGCTTTACCAATCCTATATCTGGCATACACACACACACTGAAGAATCTTTGCTAACCGTGGGAATTTAAGCAGGTAGAATGCAATAACCAGAGGTCAGATCTGGCCAGATACAAGGGCTAACATTCCTATTCCTGTGAAAAATGCCATGAGAACTCTCAATGATCTCACAGACTGGGCTTCTATTTTAACTCTTCTGTGGTAGCACTTTTGTGTCTTGTAGCAGAGAGGGGAAGTGGTTTTGTACTGATTCGGAAGGAGGAGTGCTATCAAGTGAATCACTTCCTGCAGAACCTCAGTTTTCCTTGGAGATCTCCCATCCATCCAGCTACTAATTAGGTCTGAGCCTGCACCACTTACAAGTTCTACTGTAATATGATCACAATCAGAGGTGGCATGATGCAAACTTTGCCATGATTACATTGCTGCAGGTTAGAAGCTTTCCTTTCTGCGTGTGTGTGTGTGTGTAGCCACATTCTTAGCAGCCTCAGTCCACTCTGAAAGTATCCTGACCTCTCCAGTACAGTAATAAGTCCACTGTAATCTCTCTCGCTTCGGAAAACTGCCCTTTCATTGAACAGGAGCTCCAATTTCAAAAATGGTCTTGTCACATGTCCATAGCCAGAATAAGACCAATATTTTCTGTAGTTACATTTGCTGAAATAGAAATAATCACATCTCAGCTGATTGCTACAGAGACCACGAAGCAGTATTAGCCTTCATGTTGCACAATTGACTAGGTGTGTAATTTGGAGGGAGGAGGGATACAACTTGCCTCCCCCAGAAGCATAAGCTAAGTGGCCACTACTGCTGGAAGCAACAAATTTGCAGGCCCAGCGTTCTGATTAGTATGGCAAGTCCAGTGTTCCTACCAATTGCATGTTGAATTCAACAAGCAACTACATTTGTATATACTTTATTTGGTGGTGCTTTGGAACATAAAATCTACTGCACCTAAATGAAAGCGTGATCCTACTGAAGCCAATGGAAATTTTATCAGTGACTTCAGTGGGAGAAGGTGCAAGATATGAGAGCACAAAAACCAAGCAGGCCTGGTGGGATAGTCATCTAAACATGGGTATGTGTATAATTAATTATGTGCTTAAATTCATCAGTGTACAGTAAAACTTGGCAGCATTGCTATACATATATCTTTGCTGTATTCATTCATTGCCTAAATGTTACTGCAACAGGCCAAAATTCCAGTTTGATGATGTATCACCAGTGAAAAATCATACAATAACGAATACAGTCCTAGTAAACATCTATGTCGATCAAATCTTTAGATACTGTAGCTAGTAACTCATTGTAAGAGCGACTTAAATTGCAATTCTCAGTCTGAGTAATAAGATTTTATATCATTTTGTCTGCAAAGTTTAAAAAGAAAAAAGCCACCAAATGTACTTCCATAAATTATGGTGATGATGTTTTATGTACTAAAAAGAGTGTTTAATTATTTTTAACTTGGTACAGACTACACCAAGGATTTGGTTTTATAATTTTCAGAGATGCAGGTATTTTAGTAGCATAGGCTTAATAATGCCACAATAATTATATTTAAAAAGCTACACTATTCCAAAATTGTGCCTGAGACTTTAAACACGAGGCAGACAGAATGCACATCCTAGTTGTAGAAAGCGTAAGTCTCAGCTCATTTGCAAATACATGGTAGCGTGTTCCTGTTAAATACCTTGTATGCCATGTGGCCGCTTTGGGAGATTTTCAGAATTTTGTGCATGTTAAATCCCAACCTTAGTGTTGCATTAATGTAGATTGTGTATTTACGTTCCTTGCCTTGAATGTGCTCCCTTTTTTTTTTTTTAACACAAAAGGAGTAAGTCAAGAATAGAAGAGGCACCAGTGTCTTTTCCTAATTCGGAAATCATTAGCGCTTTTAAGTTTGCCTCTATTTGATACTGTGTGTTTGAACTGAAAGACTGAAGAGATGACTTGCATTAGTGACATGCATAATACATGTATTTGAATGTGCAGTTTAATGTTCACATTTAAATACATGCGGCTTCTTGGTGCAAATTCCCCAACATCCAGTAGTAGAGCTGGTCAAAAAAAGTCCCGTGGGAAATTCTGAGAGTTTGAAATTTTGTTTCTTCCTGAATCAAAATGAAAAGTTGAAACCTGAGAATTTTTCACTAAATAAAATATCCAGAAATATTTCATTTCAGCTGTGTCATTTTGATTTTCATCATGCTATAAATTATAATATAACAGATGTCAATAAAGTTGAAATGAAACATTGATAATTTCATGTCAAAAATTTTGCTGAAATTGAGATGTTCCTGTAAAATGTTCTGATTTCATTGAATCCGCACTTTCAGATGGAAAACAGTTGCATCCACAAATTTTTGACCAGCTCTACACATTGCTATCTGTTTCTGGATTTCTTTGCAAAGTGATCAGATAGGCAAATGCTAAATTCAAGTCTTGTAGATCTGAAGTGTTTAAAAGTCTTTTTAATTATCATTGAGTCAATTTACAACAATTACGGTTGGAATTGTGAGATTTCAGGCTAGAGTATAATTATTCTGGTGGAAAGAAGTCGTCTTCTATGGAGTTATAATGGAAGTACCTGCTTGACCATGTTTAGCATCACTACCATGACTGTAAAATATTGAAGAAGCTACCAGGGGGATATTCGTGAGGTGGATAAATCTTAAGGTAACAGTTTGTTCTCAGTAGAAATCATTTTTGCCTGTCAATCTTTCATTTAAAAGTCCTGTTGTTAACAAAATGTCCCGTTGTTAACAAAATGAAAATACAAATAAGATGATTATGTAGATGAAGGAGCAACATGGCGTTGACCAGTGTTCAGTTGTGAACACAACCCTTCCCAGATTTTTTTTTAATCTGAAACTTTTGTGCATCAATCTGTACGCTAGCATGTTTTAGGACTGCATTTCATCAGTCAAAACCCACTGCCAGTTGCACTTGCAGAAATGCAGTTGGATTATTATATATTATTCCTTGAAAATTTAGCTCTTTCTGTTAGGACTTCACATACCAAACACGGGTAAAAACATTAGTTGTTAAATGCCCATGCAATTAAATCAAGCTCTCTTGCATTAAATAATAAATAATGTTCTTAGAGAGAGAAATCTAGTCCCAAATAAATCCTGGGAGACTTTACTTTTATGATAGACCTCCTGGCGGATACTTGAGTATATTGGGGGGGAAAACATAGCTGGAAAATAACTTGCCATCATTACTGACGCAGTGATCTCATTGAAACAATGCTACATTTGTCAGTAATTCAGAAAACTTAATTCTTTTGACCAATGATAACGTCAGACAATTCCAAATTTTAAAAGGCATTAAATAAATAAATGTAACACATTCCTTGTTAGTTGCTATCATAGGAGTATTTAGATACATTCCAAACAATGTTAGTTGAAGAATAGTTGTATCATTACCTTCTTTAGCAGAGTGAGTTTGAAGTTTCCTGTGCATCTTCCCAGACCACCCTAAAGATTTTTATACAGACATGCACCTGGGAGGATTAATTCTCTGTTCACAAAGTCCAGCCAGTAGGAGTGCAGTCTATTTAGGGTAGCATTACCAAACAGCACTCTAAGAACTTACTGTGTTACACTAAATTTTTTCACATATGCAGAACAAAATAAAAACCTCTATTAACTTCGGGAGTTCCTAAAATGTACACATGTCAAAAACTGAATCAATCTCTTCAAATTCTGCCGATGCCTTTCTTATGGTTTTTAATTTTTAGAAGTTTGAAACTATTCCAAGTCTTAACATTGTCTACGGCCGTCCTGACCCAAACAGCCTAACATGGTCTATCTGGTACACAAATAACATGTGCAGCCATTTGGCAGCAGACCAAACAGAGAGAGAGAAGGTCACATGGCACAGAAGATCCTGCTTCCAGGAAAAGGTTAAGTCTTAGGGCCCCTCTTAGAAGATATTATAGCTGGGGGAGTTGTAGGGCTTACCCCCCACTTTTTCTGGGAGCCAGGAGGTGAAGGGTTGAGGAAATCTGGCAGCTCTATAGATAGAATGTTAGCCTTCTGGCAGACCCCTTTAACTAGCCTATAGATGCTGTAGGATGTGTATAATTCTCTATTAAAGGGACAGTGCAAACTTGAAAACCACATTAGTCTGATCTAGCACCTAATCTACCCTTAAGATGACTATACATGAAGGAAATTAGCAAAAATAGATATTGCCTTCTGTTTACTTTGAGAATGTGAGTACTCCATATATACTGCCAGTTTCACTGTTGAAAAGACCCTTTTAAAAATTGAACAGGGACCAGACAACACTTTATAAAAGGAACTTTAGAGGACTTCTTTCCCCCAAATTCACGACAGTATAAAGAGTGCATAACTGGATGCTTTTGAAATTAGAGGGATAACAAAGAGAGGAAACAATGAGGAGTCCTTGTGGCACCTTAGAGACTAACACATTTATTTGGGCATAAGCTTCCGTGAGCTAAAACCCACTTCATCAGCTGCATGGAGGACTCCTCGTTGTTTTTGCTGATACAGACTAACCCGGCTATCACTCTAAAAGATAGGAAACATAGACTTAAAAAGTTCAACTCCAATGTATAAACATTCACATCTCTGAATGTGTAGCAACATTTTGACTTTATTCGGTACTGCTCCTTTAAAGAATTTGGAAATAAGAGTATATCCCTCTTCTTCTTCTTTTATCACCATCCCTTTTTTACTTTTAACTTATCATGCATTTCACATATTAACCAGTAGGTGACCTCAGTATTCACACCAACTATTAAGTGTATCAATGGAGAGACAAGGCGTGTGAGGGAATATCTTTTATTGGACCAACTTCTGTTGATTAGAGGGCGAAGCCTCTGAGCTGCACAGAGCTCCGATTCAGGTCCAGGAAAGATACTCCGCATACCACAGCAAAAGGCAAGCTGGAACAGACTGTTTAGCATAGGTGGTTAGCACATATTGTAAGGGACCATTCAAGGTAGAGTGGCCAGATCAGAAGAAGAGCTCTGTGTGACTCGAAAGTTTGTCTCTCTCACCCACAAAAGTTGGTTTAATGAAAGATATTACCTCACCCACATTCTCGCTAATAACCTGCACCTACACTGCATACAAGTATATCAGCTGTGATACTAAATGATTTCTCTCTCAAAAAAGAGGCAGCAGTATACATTTAAGAGGAGGATGTATGGACTATTTCTAAGACACTTGGGAGCAGATATTAAAACATCAGTATATTGATCGAGTTTCCACTGTCTGTCTTAAAAGCTGCTGCATCTTTATCCAAACTATTTACAGACCACCTGACTTTAGGTAAGTTTGGTCATGTCACAAATAAGCTGTTCCAGGGCCACTTCAGTAGTCATAACTAGAGAGCAGGCTATGGCAGGCTCACTGCTGGACTAGTCATTCTCAGACTTAAACACTATTTCTTTTTTAAATGATTTTTAAAATAGGAAACAGAGAGATCTGTTAGACTGGAATTTTGTTCAGATTTGTAGGCTCTGCCCATCAGTGTTGTATCTGGATGCCTAGAATTGACTCCGAAGGGAAGGGGTGGAAGCTCACTCATTTGGGGTTATATTCAAGTACATGAAATCACAAGGTAACGTTTTGGGGAACATTCCTGCATTGGCAAAAGGACAGGCCATCTATCATAGGGGTTACTATTGTAACTTCCAAAGTGAAGGGGTTTTCTGTAATGAGCTCCCTATTATTTACAAAGGTAGCACTCCAGCCAATCTCAGCTGGGGGTTTATGCATCAGAAAAGTAGGCCGATTCGAAGCTGCTTAGGGCTTTGTAGCTTAAAAGAAAGGCATTAATTGGAGTTGGGGGAGGAGATTACTGTAACTCCTAGTACTGTTAGTATTATTCACCAATTAAATTCCGACAATGTGCTTGGTGCTGTACGTGATTTACCTAGCCTATGATTAAGAAAATAAAATGAGCTGAGCTGAATCAATCCATGTGTGAATGGCACAACCAATGTAAGAACTGAGTGAAAAATGAATTACAAGTTTATTCAAATTTGGCTTCTTTCTTGGCATGTGGTTGTGATCTTCTCAAATTTAGTCATTGTTCAAATGTATTTGCCTCATACATCCTGCAAGTAATTCTTGTTCTGTAGCCGATCCACAAGCACTTATCTGCAAATAACTCAGTAGCTGAGTTCTTCTGACTGGGCATGTCATTCCACTGGGATGAAATTCACCCTTAGGCAGACAGCCCAAGTCCCACTTAAGCAGGGCTGAAATAGTGCCATATCCCTTGTTCATAGGCCCTCTGGAGAGGGTTGGAGTTCACCCATCAACTGAATTTCAGTTCTCTGAGCGTAATTCTTAAAATCAGGTTGCCTGGGCAAGTATTTGCAGTTATGATCTCAACATTCCATTCTACAAATATTCAATGTTCTTTTAAGAACTGCTATTTCTGTGAACATTCCTGTGCATAAACTCATTTGCTAGACTGTGGAAAGCAAAACAACAGCTTGGAAACACAGTTGAGGCAAATTTGTTAAATATTCCAACAAATTTCCCAGCTCTTGCTACATACAGACCCAAATAATGGTGGACGCTCTAGAGTACTGTTCCATTTGTACAGAGGTCAAATTGAGGGGGGGGGGGGGGAATAGACGGCAAGGTTCTCCTAAACTCTGTGCCTGCCAGTATGCCCAAGAGCAGATGTCACAGTGATGGGCCGCATCTCAAAATGTAGCCCCAGAGTAGAATAGGGCACATTTCACCCATTATAGATCAGACAGCAATCCAGGGTTGCCCCCAGTTGAAACCTGCCAGGGATGGCAATGATGGTAGCCCATGCCTGCCCTCTACCCAGGGGTGAATGCCTGCACCAGGGGTCTTCTTCCCTGCATGGAAGTCTAGGGTACAAACACGAGGTGTGGCAAGGTGATCTCTCTTCCCCTGCTGGTTTGCTGGAGGTCTTGGGTCACCTCTTGGATGAATGAGGAGAGGAAGTATCGGTCTCCTGCTCTGGAGTAGACTGTCCTCTCCTTGGTTGCTGCGGGGATGTGTTGGTCCTCTCCTTTCCTGGGCAACTGCTTCTCCTCCCTGACTGCAAAAGGTACTGTGGTGCCCCAGAGCAGCAGGCACTCCTCTGCTACAACAGCAGATGCTTGGACACACTCTTAGGGCTTTGTATTAACACCTGCACCAGTGACTCTGTCACGTGCTTCCTCTGCTGGTGAAGCAGTTGCCTGAGCCAAGGCTGTCATGCCCCATTGACAGTCAGCAACACTGAATATCCGTAGGGTTGGAAGATGTCGATTTCACTGTGTGTACGCTAATTGAAATTTGCCGGTAGGCAAAGTAGAAAAAATGCTGCTTTGTGAACTTGTTACTGTTTGATTTAAGGATATTTGCTTTGTATATTTTGACATCCAATGCCTACAATTTGTGTTTTAACTGTTATAAAGCTTTAACTTTTTGAAACTCAACATCTACTGCCATTATACAATTGTCACACCTCTCCCATAATTTCCCACAATTGGGAAAATTTAAATTGATTAAAATTGGGGTGGGGGGAGGAGGGAACATGCTTAAAAATAAACATTGTTCTCTGTTGTTGAAATTATTTAAAAAAATAAAAATTGAATTCTGCCAAGCCTAAATATATGCATTGCTGTCTCTGATTGGCCAGTGGCAGCACTAAAGGTGGAGCAGGATGGTGAGTGGCTCTGAGAGGTGCCAGCTTGGCTTATGAAGACATACCATACAACCCAAACCTGTCATTTATATTTCTTTTAAAATGGAAAATTCATTGTTCTTCCTGGAGGCCTTTCTCCCCAACTCAATCTCCTCCCCATAACAGGTGACCTCCATGGTGAGAGGCACAGATGTGGTTTCTTTGGCAGCCCATCAGTGCTGCTAATTTGACTTCAGTGGAGGTCCATGTGGGTACAGTTTCAGTATGGGCGTCTTAGGCTGAAACCTGGACCTAGAGCTGAAAGGGTCTATATCTGATACTAGCATCCTGAGTCATCCAATCTGCAAGTATTTTCGTATGTTAAGTAATAAAATACATGTCACAGGAATAAAGTGCTTTGGGAACTTGGCTTATGCCATATTTTACATAAATAACCACCTCATCAGTCTTGTCTACATAGAACATTGGCTCTTTCATGCGAATCTAAGCAGCCAGGCAGAGATTTGAGACTGTACAGCAGGATACCCCTAAAAGAAACCTTCCTACTGTTGTTGCAGGGTAATTTCTAACAGCGCTCTTATAAATGACAATTGATATTTACTGTGCTTTCTTGATGTCATAAAATAGCCAGGAATTGCCTTCAGGCTGGGCCACAGGAAATTAATAGAGTGCACAGATTAATTGCTTGGTTAGATTTATATCCAAAGAGGTTTTCCCTGCCATCTGAGAGTGTGCGGAGTAAAAAAACATTGCCAAGACAGCCATCAATCTTTAGAAATTGCTTCCATTTTAGTCTTGTTTAATTATGTTTAATGTTGCCATGTTAATGTAATCAGGCTTGCTCCCATCAGTGCACGAAATGCAGTGATGTGCTATCCAATGAGGAGTGGGAACAAATAAACAGTGGAGTGGGAACAAATAAGCAATTGCTCTAAATGTTTCTTTATCATTATTTGTATTACTGTAGTGCACGGGGCCCCAAGATGTTGAGCAAATGAAGCGAGCAGGCTGATAAATGTTTCAGCCTTTGTGCTTCTAGTAGGAGCTCTTTAGCATGCCTCATCATCAGCTGCTGTTTTTCATTAACTATTTGTTGGGTATTTAATGGCTGCACAGTGT